ATGTACATGTACATGTCTGTTTTCTATTGCATTTCGATCTATATGGCAGTGTAGGTCACTGCAGACGTAATCTGTAGTTAAGATTGAGAAAGGGGTAGTAGTGCTCGTTACTATGTTCACACTGGGAGTCAAGATTAATCTGGATGCTTCTAGACCAGCGTTCATTAACCAAACTCAGTAAAGAAATTTCTGAAAGCTTTGTAGGCTCAGTCGTGAAGACTAACGGATGGGTGAAGGAACATTCTGGCAGCGTTTTTGAAAACTTGACCACCGGTCTGTTACAGCTAGGTGATTTACTAGCGCTCCCAATTCTTCAGCGAAGGTTCTTAGTAGTCAATCGGGAATTAATGTTTTCAATATTGTAATATATACATTCTCTCGCGGATAGATAGTGCTCACAAAATGAACTCCCTGTGTCCCCCCCCTTCCACCCGGCATGTCGGAAGACTAGACTATTACCAACGCTTATTCTCTGAATATATATATTTTTCTTAAGTCAACTACAACAACAACAACAACAACAACAACAACAAAAAACAGTGAGATTTGGGACTTGTTATGTCAAGGGAAAAAATGCGGTTCAGGGTACTGTGTATTAGATGACGGAGACGTCGGGACGGGCTGTTTGCAGCTAAGGGACGCAACTCTGTAAGGCATGCTAGACGCGAGCCATCTATAGTCCGTTTGGCTCAAAAGCGGACCGATGAATTGCAATCTAACTCGAAAACTAATAAACATAAAAAACTCAATGAAACACTCATCATAATCAAAACGTCAGACCAACTCTGTGAGGTTTTTGCAGAATTTATGTCCTAAAAATAAAAAAGTTGTTTAACAAACTATCATTAAAATATTGACACTGTTCACTATTTGTTACGAGAGAGGAGTGCAGAGAAAGGGACAGCCGGGTGTTCGAGAAAGGATGGGGACGGCACAGCACAGGTTAATGAATCAATAACTTTGTCGGCACTTGTGCACGTGCTTCTCTAACACCTGGCTGTCCCTTTCCCTGCACTCCTCCCTCGTAAAAAAATAGTGAACTGTGTCAAAAATTTAATGATAGTTTGTTAAACAACTTTTTGAATCTTAGGAAAGAAATTCTGCAAACAAATCACAGAGTTGGTCTGATGTTTTGATTATGATCAGTGTTTCATTGAGTATTATATGTTTATTAGTTTTCGAGTTAGATTGCAATTCATCGGTCCGCTTTTGAGCCAAACGGACTATAGGAGCGCTTAGATGCATGATCTGTAGATGCACACGGATACCTGCTATAACAATAATTTTGTGAAATACACTATCAAAAAGTACAATAAATGTTGTGTTCCAAAGTATTACTGACATTCAGTTAAAACCTTGAGAGCTCATATGCCATAACCATCGATCATGCAAAGCGCCTTTGCCTCTACTTTCGTTTTGTCATTATAAATAACCATGACCTAATACTGGGCTGCTTCAAGGGTTTCGTCGTTACACAACTCCTATAAATACCAAGCTTTAAATAAATCGTACTCGTTAAACGTGACATGGCAGTATATAGGTACCGAATTATATATATACACGTAATACTGATGGTTGTACACTAAAGCCCATCTGCTGTCATTAAAATTGATACGTGTCAGCCTTTGTTTCTGAATTTGAGTTTTCTCAAGTCTTTTTAAACTTCTGTAACCAACAAGTCTTTTAAAATCTCGACACTATTGTAAGAAGCATTCAGACAATTCATTACATCTGAATTCTGTCTCTATGAAAGTGTCTCGTGTGAGTGAGTGAGTTTAGTTTTACGCCGCTTTTAGCAATATTCCAGCAATATCACGGCGGGGGACACCACAAATGGGCTTCACACATTGTGGGGAATCGAACCAGGCTCTTCAGCGAGACAAGCGAACGCTTTAACCATTAGGCTACCCAACCGCCCTAAAGTGTCCCGAACAGTGTTCGACGTTGATAATGATATTGATGAACACCTTATTATAATGTGCTAAAATCTTCAGAATATCCAAGTAAATACTGTCCCTTGCACGATCAGTGTCTAAACATACTTTCTGAATCCTTTCAGAGATACTTCGCAAATATACAGATGTGAACACGTGCTTTCATGATTACATTTCTTCCAGACATACTCGGCTGATACTGAAACTGCCTTTCAGCGCGTAACCTGGGTATGGCCAGCACCTGGCAAAATACGTCGGATCCGTATTATAACCGATCAATTTTTCACAGTGAATGTCCTGCAGTGCCCTCTCCGAATGGAGTCCACATGACCACAGACAGTCGTAGTGTCTTACACATATCCGGGCACGTTGGTCGTCTTGGTAACATTTCTGTGCTCAACAACGTGAGGTTGTGACGATTTGCAACGAATTAAGCTAACCGAACCGATTCTGCTGGGATATCAATGCTGTCAGTGCCGTCTTTAATGACGTATACCATCAAGATGGTCCTGTCCTACCTAATGCCTCGCTAGCGTGTATATCCCACGATCCGTACGATGTGTATCCACAGTGCACATATATGTCAGTTCTTGTGTTCAGGGGTTCTTGTCTTTTCTATTTGCTGAAATCAACAATTGCCTACAGTACCTTTATCAATTTCGAAGATTGTAATGAAATTGCTAATCAACGATAAGGTTGTTTTGCAAATGGGATCATGATCTTATACAAAGAATTTAATGACAATCCCATGTATATGCATTCGTGCATTAGCACAACGTACGATATATCGAGACCACATTCTATTAAAGAGATGTCAGCTCAACAAAGGCACTAACACCAGTGTATAAACTGAACGCTGTATTGCTCTAGATATCCTTATCTACACTATAAACGCATTATTCAATACTAGGACAGTATGGCAATACACCAGTACTAGACCGTGTAACATACTGTTTAAAACCCCGTCGATCAAATTCATTCTTTCGTTTTAACTCTAAACTGTAATCCTAATCCGGGAACTTTTCAATACGTCATTAACAACGTGTACTATGTCTTGTTCACTTACCTTATCGACATGGCTCAGTGGAGCCCAAATTCCAGCACAGCATGAATCATGATAAAATGCTCCACTTTGTGGATATTCCTCATAATGCACTAGCTTTAAAGCATAACAATATTATCAATAATACGTATCTAATCTCATGTCCATCTCGACAGTACATTTGAATCCTAGCCTGTTTCACTGAAATAGTTTGACATTCACATAAGCAGGGTTTACATATCCGCCTCTGCGTCTATAGATAAAGGATGTGGAACAAACGCGCATGAAAACTCGTGCAAAGGAACTGAACCCAAACTGGTGGAACTCGTCATCACGATATGGTTTAAACATATTTTTATTCCTAGAGAATCTGGTTTGGTAAACAAGCAGAACTCTGCTTATATCAATACCTCACCAGTCATCACGATATCACGTGGTTATGCTGAAGAACGCATGTGTGGAATACTCAATATTTCAAATCTGTCGAAATAGGTTAATGTACGGTATAACTGAATTGTAACTGCGTAATTAGGATATTATTTAGTTGTCAACTTCATGTAATACATTCATGTGATCAAGTCATTTTCGTTAGCAGAAGAACGATCGGAATGACATGATTTAATTTCCTTGTCATAAATGACAAAGACCTTCATTCACTAAATGTTCCTTTCTAAGGGACAATGTTTGCCGCTTGTACACAATGCATGTTTTATTGCATGGCCACTGAGTTGGGATGTTAACTGTGGAGTGTTATTGCTGATGCAACTCGTTGGTTGTGTTGGTGGTAATTGTTGGTTTGCTGCTTAACGCCGCAATAGTCCAGCTATATGTCGACGGTTGGTTGTGTTGGTGGTAATTGATGGTTTGCTGCTTAACGCCGCAATAGTCCAGCTATATGTCGACGGTTGGTTGTGATGGTGGTAATTGATGGTTTGCTGCTTAACGCCGCAATAGTCCAGCTATATGTCGACGTTTGGTTGTGATGGTGGTAATTGATGGTTTGCTGCTTAACGCCGCAATAGTCCAGCTATATGTCGACGGTTGGTTGTGTTGGTGGTAATTGATGGTTTGCTGCTTAACGCCGCAATAGTCCAGCTATATGTCGACGGTTGGTTGTGATGGTGGTAATTGATGGTTTGCTGCTTAACGCCGCAATAGTCCAGCTATATGTCGACGTTTTGGTTGTGTTGGTGGTAATTGATGGTTTGCTGCTTAACGCCGCAATAGTCCAGCTATATGTCGACGGTTTGTAAATAATCGAATCTGGACAAGACAATCTAGTGATCATCATCTTTAGCACCGATCTACGTAACTGGGATACGATGACGTGTGTCAACCAAGTCAGCGAGCCTGACAAGCCGATCCGGTTAGTAGCATAGGCTTGCTGGATACCCTCTGCCCACTGAATCACGTATACGGAGAGAAAATATAGCAACTTAGTTGAATATTTCAGCAATGACCTTTGATCATTTTTCATATTGAGATAAAAACCAATAGGAACACGTGTTATGATTACGGATTTGAATAGTTTGTTTCTTTTTTGTATAACAGCAGTCAGCAATATTTCAGCCATATACTCGAGTCTGGACCAGACAATCCACTGATCAACAGCATGGGCATCGATCATAACAGTTGGGATACGATGACATGTGTCAACCAAGCCGTGAGCCAGACCTCCCGATCCCGTTAGTCGCCTCTGACGACAAGGATGGGTTACTGAAGATCAATAATTCTAACCCGGATCTACACGGGTGGGTTAGATGAGACAGTCAGCAACCGGTCGCAAGAGTCGATTAAATGGGTCGGGGTCAGGCTCGGGGATATAGTTGATTACGTGTCTTCGTTTTTAGTTGGCATGGCTCGATCTTCACAAAACCAACTTGCCCAGAATTGTTTGTCTACACGCGACCGCCATATAGGTGGAAACACTGTTAAAAACAAACAAACCAAATCAAACACCATAGCTGCCATAATAAGGTATGATATAATCAGGTTTTTTAAGAAAAGGAAAGTTAACACACAGAAATAGTTCTATCCTTTATTATCTACACGTTTCCCTCGATTAAACAAAACTGTGGAAATAAGTCAAAAGGCTACTGCTACCGTATCAACATTAAAATAGTCACATGGATATGTACAACTTTAACTTCGAAAACATCTCACACAACATCGCTTTTTATATACCTCATTTGTAAAGATGATAAGCCACAACACGAATAAGGAGTAATAGTACGAGAATACCGTATAATGTACAATAAGTTAACAGTCACAATAAACATCACTGGGCAGTATTGATCGGAGTCAACAGTTCCGCGGAATCTTTGCTGTGACATAAGTTCAAGTGTTGCTATCTTGGATTCGTGCCAATTACCAGAACAAAGTGTCATTAGTCCAGTGTCTTTCAATCAGTTGATACGAGTATTTAATCGGAGTCTTCGGCCATTATAAATTTGTCACATCATACATTTTGCAGTGCAGCTGTGCTTGTCTGTTCACCAAGAGGTTCACTCAACAACCTCGTTTTGGGATATTCCATAGTTGAAGGTTATGTCACCTCGAAACGGCCATCTTGCTTCCTGGTCTTTAAGCCAAATTATGTTCTCTCGTGGATCATATTCAGTTGCTCTGGGTAGTAATTCATCGAGGATCGTTCTGATGCTTTCGTTGATGGTTTCAATAGTAGTTCCTGATTTCTTGTGAACAACTGTCACTTTGACCACCCCTCTCAGACGTACGTACGTGGAAAAGTCACAGGCCAGTCTCTGCTCGTTGACCTCGAACTTGGCCACTGTTGTCCTCCGCGGAGCGGCTGTGATCTTGGAGTTGTATTTCCAGGTCATGCTGTGACTTAGGTCACTCCGTTCCTCCGTCTGGACAGGCAGGTATGCTCCGAACGCACTGTCTACTTCCGGTGGTGCGCGGAGCTTTATACCAACTCCGTTGTCCGCAGCGAAGCCATGCTTCATCCTGATTCTTGCCGTAGCGGATGTCGTACGCTGGACGCGGACGGTCATTTCTTGAGCAACGTCGGTGTCGTTTTTGTAGTTTGTCATAAACACTACCTTTGGGTCTAACATTGGGGACTTCTTGTACTTAAATGTTGGTTTCTCGAAAACAAAGTCGACATTTTCGAAATCTACTTGGAATTCGAAATCGCCAAAGCTGTATTTTGTTTGATAACAGGGTGCAATGTGATATTTCCATGCCCAGGCACTAACGTAGGCCTCGAGTTGAGAAATGTTATCGCTCATCTTTAAAAAGTCCTGAAAGCACGAAAACGCATGATGTACACTTTAAATACACAATATTAATACTTATTTCCAAAGTTCAATAACGAAAACTTAAATACCAGTTTATGTTATATATCTAAAACAAATACTTCTGGGTAGGAGAGTGAGTATATTACTGCACTTTGAAGAGTATTTCAGTATCTGTTAGATCACATCAACTTGATGTGGACAGAAAGATCGTGAGCTTAGCCATATACCACTTTGACGAAATCCATAACTTGTGTTAACAATTGTGACAAAAACCTGCACATATACCATTAAGGCTAATTCATGATTGTAACCAACGATCAGTGATTCACGGTACTTCGAGGGTACGCAGCTCAATGAGTTATGTCGGCCTCTGACAACTGGGCAAATAATCCGCAAACATGCAACCAGACGATAATGGGTAACTAACGATGCAAACATACAACCAGACGATAATGGGTAACTAACGGTACTGTATGATACGTACGTCAAACACGTCCTTGCTATGCAGCTGTAGACAAGGCGTGTGTCTACTAACACCTCAGTACAGAGCTGACGTTAATTAACAATTAAAGCAAACATTTCACAAATTATGGAGGACTGAACCGATCAATACAATATCGGCATGGAAGGAGAACCTACCTGCCACCCTTACTCTGGCCAAGTCGTGGAAGGAATGTAGCAGCAAAGGCGGAATATAGACATTAAATAGTATTACATTGTATTCAATTAGTGTTAAATTGCTGGATGGGTTTTTCCTCAGTTCACACTGAAAGTGAAGTAATTCCCAGGTTAAAAATAACACTCACGTAAGACCAGGCTCTGATAATAGCGGTTGCGTCACCGAAAGCCTTGACGACCAATGCGTCGATCTGGACACGAGACGGGATCTTTATACACTTATCTAACAATCAGCTAGTTGTTGACACGGTACAAAATCGCATTATTCATTCTCTATATATTCGCATGTATGGTATAGTTCCATCAATAGCATTGATCAAGTTGTGCTTGTAATGGAGACTATTACGTGTCATGTTGTGTATGTACAGACATCCTACACATTCATCCACACAATAGACACTGAAATAGACGTGATGCTAGGCCAGATTATGACTGGGCTGCATATATATCGCGATGAAGAACGACATGTATCTATATATACAATAAGTTGACATGTACTTTAGCTCCTGTATTTGTTGTAGTTGTAAATGTACGTACACTGCATCCCTGTTAAGAGTCTTGTTAATGATAAGGTGATTTAATGTTACGCTTGTATTGCTAGTGTATTTGTCTAAATCTGAAGTAGAATGCTTAACGGTAACGACATATAAACAAGTTATTAGTCTGCACGTCACTACCACACAACCCGCACTTTCGGACACATGTTTAGATATCAATAATGTGCCAACATGTGACATTACTCCGTATGAATATGTCGCACCTTGTCCACACGCACACACGCACGCACACACGCACTCACGCACACGCACGCACGCACGCACGCACGCACGCACTAACACACACACACACACGTGGAGCTGTGAAGAGAGGTACACCTTGGAAACCAGGCTAACATAAAGCCCGTGAAATTGTAATGTATATCTGTAAATACAGATCATCATACAACGGAAGCGTAGGACATACTATCTCCTACGTAGTACTTAATATCTCCTACGTAGGAGATGAGCGATATGTATTACTATACATCAATTTGAAATGGTCGACTTAAATTCCCAGACACGCAAACAATCCCCCGTTTCACTGTTTCATTCACTATTAGAGTCATGTGTTGAACTAATTGCTGCACATTACTGTCATGTGTTGGACCGACTGTTATACTTTTACTGCCTTGCGCTCAGATTGCTCTACTATTACGCGTTGCAGTTAGTTCACTGTTATGAGGGGCGGTGGGGTAGCCTAGTGGTTAAAGCATTCGCTCGTCACGCCGAATTCCCCACATGGGTACAATGTGTGAAGCCCATTTCTGGTGTCCCCCCGCCGTGATATTGCTGGAATATTGCTAAAAGCGGCGTAAAACCATACTCACTCACTCACTGTTATGTGTTACACTTTCTGTTACACTTTACTGTAATGGGTTGGGTATTTCAGAGGTCGTTGCACATGGGTCATAATCTGCGTGCACAGACCTGTGTTGACTATCGATGGCAATCTATGCATGCTTATTCCAACGATTCAGAAGCCGGTCGAGGGTAGTAGTTAAGTCGACACAGAAAATGTTTGTCAACAATGTTTTCCCTGACCTTCCTCCAAGATAAAAGACAACGTTACCATCTTCTTGTGAATAAATATTACAGCTTGTCGAGTTAATGGCGAGTGACATTGATCATTGGCCAATATATGGCTTTTGTGTTACAGCGATTTACTAATAACCTGACAATTCTTAGCCATTTTGAATTTCGTATTGTTTTACGCCGCACTCAACAGTTTTCATCCCAGTCAAGTCAACCTGTAAACAATCACGAACAAACAAATCGCAAACAACGAGCGTTGTATCCGATCCAACCTAACCCCATCTGAAGGCAAGCAGCAACTTGCGGAGGACGTGTTATTACCAGGGTTTCATATAATAACCTCACTCTCGACCCCTCTCTCTCCCTCTGTGTATGAATAGATCAAACATCACCATACCCAAATTGCCATAACTGCACTTAACAATAGAAGGTCCACGTCACCCTAACGTAATACACATACACAATAACACTGTATAGCAACACTGCGTTAGTGTCATGAATATTCACTGACTTACATTTCTACTATCTAACGTCCTGCATAACCAAACATTTCTCAAATTAATACCCACACTCCATAATCCGAACCTTAGAAAGGAACTTTTTCTGCAATAATTCAATTGCAACGATTGGCATACGCATGTCAACGATCGTAATTACAACATTAAGCGTCACTCATTACCCCGATTCGAAATGTAAATGCTTTCTAACCATTACTAGCCTCTAAGTAGACATAAAATGTAATATTAAAAAAATGGAAGAAATTATTATCAACTCCGGACGAGGTTGCTCGACATAATAATTACGTGTGACCCATCCACATGACTGCAGGATTCTTATCAATTTCCCTTTCACTTCACGGAACATTAGTTGTGCACATACACACATAATAATATATATTTATCATCTCCCACGTAGGAGATATTAAGTACTACGTTGGAGATATTATGTCCTAAGTAGGAGATGCTAAGTCCTACGCAGGAGATATCAAGTCCTACGTAGGAGATACTAAGTCCTACGTAGGAGATACTAAGTCCTACGTTGGAGATATTATGTCCTACGCAGGAGATATCAAGTCCTACGCAGGAGATATCACGTCCTACGGAGGAGATTTAAAAATCCTACGTAAGAGATAGTGAGACCAGCAAAAGTTACACAAATAATAATATATATTTATCATCTCCTACGTAGGAGATATTAAGTACTACGTTGGAGATATTATGTCCTACGTAGGAGATGCTAAGTCCTACGCAGGAGATGCTAAGTCCTACGCAGGAGATATCAAGTCCTACGTAGGAGATATCAAGTCCTACGTAGGAGATACTAAGTCCTACGTAGGAGATATTAAGTACTACGTTGGAGATATTATGTCCTACGCAGGAGATATCAAGTCCTACACAGGAGATATCACGTCCTACGGAGGAGATTTTAAATCCTACGTAAGAGATAGTGAGACCAACAAAAGTTACACAAATAATAATATATATTTATCATCTCCTACGTAGGAGATATTAAGTACTACGTTGGAGATATTATGTCCTACGTAGGAGATGCTAAGTCCTACGCAGGAGATATCAAGTCCTACGTAGGAGATACTAAGTCCTACGTAGGAGATACTAAGTCCCACGTAGGAGATACTAAGTCCTACGTCGGAGATATTAAGTATCTACGTTGGAGATATTATATCCTACGTTGGAGATACTACTAAGTCCCACGCAGGAGATATCAAATCCTACGCAGGAGATACTAAGTCCTACGTAGGAGATATTAAGTACTACATTGGAGATAGTATGTCCTACGTAGGAGATACTAAGTCCTACGCAGGAGATACTAAGTCCTACGTAGGAGATATCAAATCCTACGCAGGAGATACTAAGTCCTACGTAGGAGATATTAAGTACTACATTGGAGATATTATGTCCTACGCAGGAGATACTAAGTCCTACGTATGAGATATTAAGTACTACATTGGAGATATCAAGTCCTACGTAGGAGATATCAAATCTTACGCAGGAGATACTAAGTCCTACGTAGGAGATATTAAGTACTACATTGGAGATATTATGTCCTACGTCCAGGAGATACTAAGTCCTACGCAGGAGATATCAAGTCCTACGTAGGAGATACTAAGTCCTACGTAGGAGATATTAAGTACTACGTTGGAGATACTAAGTCCTACGTAGAATATATTAAGTCCTACGCAGGAGATATCACGTCCTACGGAGGAGATTTTAAATCCTACGTAAGTGATAGTGTTACCAACAAAAGTTTTCACCGTGGCCCTACTACGCTTCCGTATCATACAATGAATACAATGAAAACTATGAACTGCGTATTCAAATCACATGTACATCAATGATCGACCTACACGATGTATTTTATTCAATCATGAAGCAAATCATTAGCCTCATGTTATGGTTTGAGTGCATACCAATAAATTCATGGAATTGCATCGATTAGCTCTACTAGGCACGTTCTAGGTTTATCGGCGGATTTTATTCAACCGAAAGTTTATACGAGAATATGTACACACTCGAGCCAGGTCAGTATATAGGTAGTCATTCTGAATACCTCGTCTATGTTTCCATAGCTGTGACCCAACCGCTTGTATGTATATATAGATCACGGGAATACACACATTATCGGATCTCGCTGATTGGTTCATGGTGCAGTTGACAAGTGTCGTGTTACCTGGACAGAAATAACTCCGTGTAAGAAATGTCTACATTGCTTATTGTACTCTTTGATCATGATAAAATAATCTAACTGCAAAGTGAAAATAATTATGACTTTCGGGTTTACCAGTCCCCTATGTGCTCAGCTGTGTCTTCGAAATACGCACTTTGCAAGGCAGATCAGGGTAGCTTGAAGTTGATTTAATTACGTATCTAGAACAATGTCACGCCTAAAGAATTACTTCCTATAGATTTCAAACTTCTATTGATATTAACCAAAATTTAACTTAAAATATATTATATGTATATATTGTAAACGTGTGTGACGTTTTGAATACCCCAAACATAATGGATATGGGGGAGGAGTCGCGGGTTCGGTTTCCTACAACAGTATACACTGTGGTCCCAATCCAGATAGGACTGGAATATATTAACAGAGACATAAAGGCGAACCCACATGTATGTGCATGCCATGGCTGACTATAACGTATCCTGAATGCCCTGTCTGATGTAATTGAGGCTCTTGTAATCTCCATATACCAGCATGGTACATAAGTTTTCAAATTCGAAAAATGTAAAAATAAGATCTGAAATTGTGTTGACCTTCGCGTTCAATATCACTGCAGTTATTTAGCGACATGCACGACTCCGAGGATCCCTTGTTTATACCTACAGCATAACGGCGCTATGCAGGGAAACAACAAGTAACACTTGTTAAGGTACTTTGGTATGACGCGACCATGGAATCAAACCATATTTTTCGTGTAAGCCCGATTAATTTCAAAGGTTTATATTTACAAAGTATTGAAGGCTTGCCCAACTATAACAGCAAAAATCATGTGTAAATCCGGGCTTATTTTCATAATGATAGCTACGCCCCTGCCATCCTCTGTCCGGACAGATGCTATATCCACTGGACCATGGAGACTGAAAGCAGCTAAAGCGTTCGCTCGTCACGCCGAAGACCCGGGTTCGATTC